AAGTGCTTAAGTGCTGAGCCCTGGTAGATTTTTCTTGTGCCCCTGCAATGGTCACTTGTCTTTTAACTTAACATCTTTGAAATATACAGCATATTTCCAAGGGGGTATAGTGTTTTCTTTACATCTTTTTCACATTTGGGCCCATTCTCTCCAAAATAATCACACATTTCATATATATACATATATATGTATATATATACATATATATGGAAAAGATGGTAAAGAGTTAAATCAAACATTATTCATAACATAACCACATAACATAGAAACATCTTACTTTAACTTCAAGCGAATTATAGAATCACCATCATAATTTCATAAATTTATGTAATCTATTTTTCCTAAAGGAAAATACGCACATAAAATGGCATTTTATTTTAACATATTTAAATTACACCATTGAAAAGTTCATGTCATGCCTAGGCAGAAAAAGTGGGCTTTTGAGGCAATATTTTTAATTATTTGGGGTTATTTGTTCATAAAGAGGCAGATTTAAAATACTTGGTTTTTGTTTATATAGATAACACTTCTCTGGAAATTAAATCATATACATGATTTATACTTAAAACACAGCATTGAATTTCAATAAATTGTTGCACTTTAAAAATAAAATCAAATATCATATTAGATTGCAAATTGTTGCCATCAAGTCACTTTTAAAATGTTACAATTACATAACAGCAAAATATTAGCTAGGCATGGAAAGAACTGTCCTCACCAAGTTTTCATATTTTACTTATATTAACTTAATGATAGAGAAGTTAAACAAACACATATCCATACACCATAGAATACACTACAAGAAGTTGGCTTTTGAGATTTCCCAGGGAGTGGGGAGTGCATTGTTATGAGAGTCCCAAAATGATTCTTCCTGGGATATCTTGTAAATATTTACTTCCTCTATTTATATTGAAGTATCATAGCCCATGTTAAAAGTGAGAGGTAGAAGAATTATTGTTAAGTATGCATGGCAGAGAAATTACCAGCTATATCCAATAACTATTGCATTCAATAGTAATCTTGATACACAAAAATGCTGATGATTTTAGAACCCATTCATATAGACTGTCCCCTTTAACTCTCTTTATTTTCTTGCTCCTTTCAATCCACTGCCTTTGGAAGGGTATAAAGAAGTGCAAAGGGCTTGTTTGGGTTGTGATAAAGAACAAAGGAGAGTATTAAAGAGAGAATTTCCCCATTAAAATATAGTGACTTTAACTTCTAAATATATCCTATGTTCTTTGAATAAATTTGTACTAATAAACAAAGTACTTCAATCTATTAAAGCACATACAGTTCAAAGAAAGTTCAAGAATGTCAAATTCGATTAGAAATGAATTAAAGATTAAAATCCATGTTATTTCATTCTCTGCATTAATGTTAAACACTAAAGTAAACAAATTTTCTTTGTTAACTCAATAATCAAGTAAGAAAATATAACTTACTGTTGTTAGTGCTTTAATACTTTAGAGGTGAATTAGAAAACTCCTTGATCTTGTTTAACGTATTTTAAATCCCTTTGCATTAAGTATCCAGCAATAGAATTATAGATATTGCACTGAGTATATTTCAATATTGCCAATGTGTATTTCAAAACAAATTATATTATCTACACTAAGATTTCCTCTTTCCCAGAATTCAAAATGCATATTATAATTACATGGGTTTCCGACATCCATACACAGCTAGTACAAGATACTTACATGTACATACACTGTAGTTACCTATATTTTGCATAGTTTTTAGTGTGTACTTTGTGCCACTTAACAACAAGCATTACTCATCAATTTCTTTAGAATTTTTACTTACTTCAGTTGCAATCACTGATTAATCTTTTCATTTTTTGTATTCATCACAGATTACCATTTGCTAAAGGAAATAAAATTGGGCATTTCCAAAAGGTTTCTGGGATTAAAATACCATGGAAAGGTTGTAGTACAAAATGAAGATTCTTGTTTTTTTTTCCACAATTGGAAAACTGTGGGATTTTATATTTTTATTTTTTTTAAATTTTGTTTATGTCCAAAAGGTGCAGAAGGAAAAGGATTTTCAATGTGCCCTCTGGTAACACTTTGCAATAAGTGGCACTAAATCACACAATAACTGCTATGTTACATGGAAGAGCCATTACTGTCAAACAGTTGCTGTACATGTGCCTATATGGAATCTCAATGCTGCTACAGTCATGAGTACATAATTACAAGTGAACCTGTCTTTTTAATTGAATATTTATATTTTTTTTACAAAAAACAAACAACAACAGCAACAAAAAAAAAAAACAAACAAAATAAACGAGGTGTTAGCTTCTTTGCCAAAATCAGGAAAGTTGCTTTTCTTTCTCTATTTGTTGGTTTAATTGTAGAGTTTCTATGAATGACTAAACATCTTTAATGAAATCATCCAGTTTCTAGGTTAAATTCCATTATCAGGTTTCTTAAATTGCTTCTTGTAATTTCTGGTAAAAGAAAAGAAGTTGGAATCTCTTTCTCTGTGTTTGTTTTAATATTTCTTCTCTTAATACATACATTCACACACACTCACACACACACAAACATATGCACACACATGCATGTACACACAAACGAACACATGCACTTTCTCTCTCTCTCTCTCTCTTACACACACACACACACACACACACACACATCAATCTTCCAATAGGGTATTTTATCTTTACTGTTGCAGCCAGAAACTTCCTTCCCCTCCCTCCCCTCACCCCCAGTTTTGGTCACCATTCCTCCCAGGACATTCAAAAAGGAAAAGAAGACAAGAAGATTGTTGGCTTGATATTTCTGATGGAGGACAATCAATGCACACTGTAAACGTTTCTGGCAGAGAGGAACTTCTTTTTTAACGAATGATGCTCTGAGTTTTTGAGGAGTATGTGCACACAGTTCTTCTACTTTGTCCCCTACATACTGAACTCCCTTAACAGAGACAGAAAGTGGCTCCATGTGCATGCGAATGTGCATATCTCAGGCTTCTCAGCTGACATGAGTCCAATTTAGAAATCCTATCTCAATATTTTATTCGCTGAAATGGGGAATGCCCAGATTCTGTGTAACTTATTTCCTTTAGTGAAAAGCAAATAACCTTTCAATACAGAAAAGTATAACTCCATCACTTTTTTTCCAGGACAGAAAATGATATTGAATCAAAACTAGCTATATTTAATGGAAAACCATTTGATAAGAGCCCAGAAATTTTATCTGCCAGTGGTTTTCTTTTTACAAATTCTAATAGGTATTTTTCTTAGAAGGGTTAAAAGAGTCAAATGTCTTAAAAGGCAAACAATTTTGGATTTCTAATTTTACCGTGCTATAAATAATGATTGTGTTATTTAGGTAACGATTTTAGCAGTTGGAGCCAAGTAGAATACAGATGAAGAAGGATGTAAATACAGCATCGATGAAGAGTAGCAATTTTGCAAACATATCCTGAAATTAGGCTTTAAATAGTAATTGATGATGCAGTTATACAACGTATTAGCAATAAGAACCTTTCCGTTTTGTACTAACAGGATGAATTTTGCTGTGTGGAGTCTTTCTAAAGATTATGCACTGAAAGATATGAGCAGTTTATAGACCTATTCTAGTTTCAATGTGTCTAGAGGCACCTACCTGATTCTCTCAAACTACCATACTATATTAACATATTATTGCATTTTTCCACAGATGGTATGGAGTGAATTGTTAAAAACAAGCATGCAATCACATCAATGCAGACTTATTTCCTTAAAATGTCATACTGTATATGATTTATTATGTTAACACTCAACCACATCATATTATTTATGTTCTGTATATTTTGAAAAAGTGCTGCTTGACTGACATCGTCCTTTTTCTTTTGTAATAAATCAACAAGATAAATGCTACACAATTAAAAAAAAACTTGGATTTTCTAACGTTTTCCTTGAAAGCTTGATACTTTTCTGATAAATAATCTAACATACAGCACCCTTGTCTTCTATCAGATATTAACACAGGATGTTGTATTCAGTCATTCTTGTTCCCTCCATAAAAATTCCAAGGTATTGTTAAAACCCTAGGCCATCATGCTGTTAGACATCACAAGTACAGCTACCATATTGTAATATTTGTTTTCTTCTTAAAGGAGCAATGTTTGTAAATGGGAAAATAATTTTCAATCTAACTGGATTTTGTTCTTTAGCTGCTAATAAATATAATGAAAACTATTCTAGCAATATTATATTTCACCCAAAGAAATAAGACTTTATATTGACTCTGTGTCATATTTAAGATTACAGAATTTCATAATAGTTCAATACACCAAAATTTCAAAATAATCCAGAGAAAGAGACTTTCACCTTGGAGTTAAGAGCATGGCAGGGATTTTCTATCACTCACTGTTTCATAAGTTTGTACCTCACAGAATGCATAGACAGGAATTTAATATAAAGAATTAGTTCATTTATACAGAAAACATATCCTAAATACTTCCTTTTTGGCAAATCAACATAGTTAAGCAGCCATGAAACTGCCAAATTAAAATGTGTAAGTTTTTTTTATCAAACTAAGAGTTTGTTTTTAGGTTATTATTTAACTGTGGTTGTGATTTAAAACCTGAGGCTGTGCACTGGTTGTTAGCTTAAAATTACCTTTCCTTGTAACATTGTGCTTCCATTGTATAACAAATAAAAATTAACAAGAACTAGAAAAATTTGTTGTTGACAGTGCTAGGACATACAGACAAAAATACTAATATATGTTATCTACTTATAATATCAGTTTAAGTAATATCTAAAGGGATATAATGGACATTAGAAAATGCGTACTTATGACCGAATAACCTACAGCCAAAAAAGTTAAATATGTATCAAATAATGTTTAATTGGATTTATTATATGCACTATATACAGATACTAAAATGTCTCAAAATTGTGCCCTATTTCAGTTTGTTTAGGCAGGTGAATCCTTATGGAGCAAATAAATTATAAAATCAAATAGAGAAATGAATGATCTTTATGATTCCCAAAGCAGTTAAATGGTCGTAATAATTTATTGGTAAATGAAGCTACAATAACCTAATGGTAGGATCTATATAATAATATAAGGGTGTCATGTCATGATTATAATCCATACACATGGTACCTGTATCAAACACTAAATTTTATAATAGCAACTTGATACAGTATTACCAGTATAATCTCAAACATTCCAGAAACTACACTACAGTGTCTTCATTTTGTGTTTTCTAGGGCATATGTTTTCACAACATGTTATCTTTGAAGATAGACAAGTAGAAAACATAGTTTGTAAACCTCTAATCTTTGATTAAACGTAAGCACATTAGGCCATTACCTAATCCTGCGACTTGTGAAAACTGTTCAATAAATTCTATGACTTAAAGAAAAACAAATGTAGGGGTGGGGCTATGCATACATTTCTTCAGTGTATAAAAACAACTCAGTATCATGATCCAGTGAGATGATTAACATTGTTAAGGCTGTATATTCAAGCACTGTATGTTAAAAGAGCAATGGTGTAAAATTTAGGCAATAAGAAATGTCCTGCATTATGGATGGTACAGTAATTAAAGGATGATGCTTTCAACTGCTGATTGTTGGTTTACACTGGCTACTGCGAGCAGTACAGTATGGGTGTTAATAAAAGTAGTAGAGGATGCTTGGAATGGTTTCTGAAAGATGGTTTGCCAGTTTTCTCCAGCAGTCAGCCTGGTAGGTAAAACTCAAAGCGTGTGGCCCGAATTTTAAATGAAATACTCTTTTTTCTCTTCAGCATTGACTTGGCTGCCTTCAGCATTGATAATGGCCGTGTCGGCATCTGGTGCATCTTCAGCTCCTTTAGCTTCGTTTGTTAGATATGTTCCTGTGGAAATGGAAAGAAAATGATGTTACTTCCGGAGGTCTAATAAAATAACCAGCATCAAAGATATATTTACTTACAAGTAAAAAGCCACATAATTTCAACTTCTAAACCTCTATCCTGTTTCTTTTCCTCATTTCTTAAGAAATGTATTTCAAGCAAAACTGCAGGGCAATTATTTAAAGGCAAGAGTGAATCTGCAATGATTAGTATTTGATTTTGAATTGTTTAATAACTGATAAAACTGTAAAGGAATTTCAGCTAGAACAATCAGCGTCCCTTTTTAAGATGGATGCAGTCAATGGTCATCGTAAATGTTTGCCTTTATTTTTTGTTTATTCAAAACTGAGGTACCAAAACAAACAAACTAAAAATAAACGTAAACTCTCAAAAGTCGAAAAAATAACAAAATAAAACAAACAAAAAAGCTCAGAGAAATAACAGAGACTGTTCTGAATTGTCCAAATAATCCTGGGCATGAAAAAAACATACTGAACTATGTCAGTGAAGTTTAGATTGGATGATTATAAAAATAAAAATAAAATTTGTAACATTTTAATTAAAAATAATTTTTACTAAATTTATAATTTTCTGACTAAAAAGGCTACATGTATTCCCATACACTTATAAACAAATTTTTAACCAAATATTTAGGAGTTAAATTTTATCTCTACAAGTTTACTACTTTCCTTCTACTTCTGTTCTCATTTAGTTTTTTTTTTTTAGACTTATAATTAGATTGGTGTGGTGAAATAACATTTAGACAATGACCATCCAGAATGAGCCGCTGGTTCAGGGGGCAGAACATAAAGTGTTTTAAATTGGTTGATTTTCCACTGCTAAAGGTAGCATAGCATTTACTATTAATAAAATACATGCTAATAAGATTAATTTTAAACCATTTGAAATATCAATTATCACTTCCCTGAAACAATTTAAGATTTATATCTCCAAATCTCTCCTTTCTGTATTCTTGCCTCCACTCATGTGATAAACATATGTGGCTATAGATATCAGAATAATATTAGTTTCCAATCCTTTTTAAATCAAAGCTATGAGAGCCTTCTTTTACTATTACTCACCTTTATGTCTTGCCAGATATCGGCCAAGCAGAAAAATGGAACAGAGTGTGACAAACACAACCACAGCCACTATTCCTCCTATGAGAGCATGATCAGGGCCGTTCTGGCCAGCCAGAGAGTTAGGATCTAGAAGAGAGCACGGAACACTGTTTAGGCAGTCTGTTGCTTTCTCCTTAGACACACATCTAGAACTAGCATGAGTCATTTTGAAATAGGATATTTCTATTAAAATGAAGTTGTATTACTGTATATTATTTCAATCATTCCATCAACAAATACTGTTTGTCCAGTTACAGCATATGAATCACCTAGGGAAAAAAGACTGGACAAATTAATGAGTTTACCATTGACTGTATATTTTAAGGAAAATGACAGTATGAATCAAATACACACTTACAAGCTTGTTCAGTTACATCTTTTTTACTTGATAGTCACATTTATTACTTTATATGTATATGGAAATTTCTATGTAGATGAGGAAAATCCAAATGTACCATTTTAAAATAAGATTAGTATCTGGGGTTTAATAATTTGATATTTTTCATGATACTTGTAATATTTAAAGCTCTGAAATTTGATACTTGCTCTAAAGAAGTCTTAAAAGAAATCCAACAATAATACTTTGGGGAACTCAACTTTCAAAATCCAGACAGTCATAACAAATAATTTCATCAGAGAAAACTGTAGAGGAATGAAAGGAAAGATGTGGGAGAAGACACCGTGTGCTTGATGAAAGTGAGTATTAAGCTTTGGTGACAAGGTTACACTCCTGTGACATGGTGACAGATGGCGAAAGATGAATAAACACCAGTGAGGATTAAATGTTCATTGGATTTGTGCTTTTAGAAAAAGTGACTAAAAAAAATTAATAGGAACCTTTTACATTATGCTCTTAAGGGTATGCTGGAAAGAAATAAACCAGTAAAGGATGAAAAGATCAAATGAAAAAAATCTAGATATTTTTGCACTCAAATGTTTAAAATTGCCAGTTATAAAATTCATGCAACAAGGAACACAACACAGTGTAACTCTGAGTAAGAAACTGCTTTAAGGTTCAGCTTTATGGCAAAGATCAAATAAGCATGTGCTTCTTCTTTCCCAGCCAGCTTCTTGCCAAGATCCTCTTGTGGTTTCTTGTACTTTAGAGGCAGGATACAGAGGAAGGAGAAAGGCAACAAATAACTTTTGGTTGGCACTAATGCTTTAAAATAAAAAAATAAAAACTCTAAGAGTTGGGGAGAAACATGTATCTGACAAATAGGTTTAGACATGTGATATTTAATGGAACCAGTGTCCTGTCAAAAAAATTGTATCCAGACAAAAATAACAACCTGTGTTTAAAACTTCAAACAACCTACAGATCCCTAAACCCTATGAAAAGAAGAAATGGAATGTAAAAGCTATATAGGCCTGATGGAGGTCATATTTCCCAGGACCTACTGCAAGTGCCATCAAGGAAGAGAGCCATACAGGTTGAAAGCAAAGAAGAAACACCACCATCAAAGCTAAAGGGTATTCTAATACTATTCTGTCATGCTTAGTAGTACTTTCCATTTTCCTCTCATCTTCAAGTGTGAGGAATGATATTTAAAGAAGGGATACCATGCCTCTACATGGAGAACAGAAGAGTATTTCTGCACTCTTGTGCATGGACCGGAAAGTATATTCATGCATAGTCATGGCCACTACTCTGGATAACAGAGCCAGCATGACAAAACTGTGCATACTTAAATTTCTTAGAGTTTCAGTTGAGAAAACTAGCTTTATGGGATTATAGTTTGTCTATGTGAAGAGATAGCATATTTTTCATAAGAAAACAAAGATTAAAAGAATATTCGTAATCAGAAGGTCACATTAACGCAGAGATTTCTGACAACACACATTTCCTTTTCTTTTAATGCATAGAACTAAATGTTGTCTACGCTTTCCTGATATTGGACAGAATCATGAGAAGTATTTTAAATAAGGAAAAAAAGACCAGAAAATATATGGTTCCCTTAATAGCCTGCCCAGGTGAGCTAATAAGATATATTAAGTTCAAGAAATCTATTGACATGAGTAATGTCACTCAAAGATTGAAAAAAAAAAAACAGTAGCCATTTTAACAATGTTTTATAAACTATAGTTCTTTCATTAGAATAAATACATAAAAGGATAAATATCATGAAAAAAGGCCATCCGCCTTGAAGTGCTTGAAAGGACATTCATACAAGCTAAAAATGCTCCTTTTCTTTTGAGACTAAGTTTGCTTGGGCTCAAAATTCCCAGCCACAGTACATCACAGCGTGGGAAACATAGAGGTAGAAAAGTTCAACTTTTTAAAACAAGTAAAATAAAAAATCAATCTGCTATAGCAGCTACCCTTAGCATTTTATATGTATTTGAGCTTCTGTATATTTATAGCCAAGTTTGTGCATCTCAAAGGGACAAGGAAGACAAGAAAGAGGCACGATGCTTTCATTTTTGTCTTCCTTTACATAAAAGTTCACAAAGCTGCATTTTGTATTTCTTTGTTAGAACTTTTGAATTTCAAGGTATCGCTCTCTCTCTCTCTCTTTCTCTCTCTCTCTCTCTTTATCTCTATCTCTCTCTTTCCTTCTTGAAATTTTTCTTCATGAATTGCTTTTCTCACATTATTGTTTGGCCTTGTACTTTGTCATGCATTCTCAAGTTACCTAACAATCATTCTTTGAAATCTTTTCAGGCTTGCCACTTATTACCTTAAGATATTTTTACACTTTGGTCTCTTTCCCTTGGAAGTCTATCTCATCCTTCACTTTTCACTTTCTGCATGTCACTTTGTAGACATTTACATCATTTATATTAGTGGGTGATTCATCTTATTTTATGAAGTACCTTTTGGTGGGGAATATCTAGTTTCTATTTAAATGAAATAAGTTGTCATCTGGGTAGTTCCTTGACTTTGATTGTGGTGAGCTCAAAACTGAAGCCTTGAAGACACTAGTCTCAGTTGCAGTCAACATCAGCAAGGCCTTTAGCCCTCAGATTTTCTGTTTTAGAAGTTCACTTTATAAACAATATTATAGTTTTTAAATAATTTCCTTCCAGTTGTCTTTCACCTGTGCTCAAACATAGACAAGTTTCAAAACTTTATGCAATCAAGTCTAATGTTGCATCAACATATAGAGGTTTATGGGTAACAGTGTGAAATACTAGGTCATAACAGAATATATGCATAGTGATCTATATTATTATTTAAAAATTACATGAATCATACTGAATGGGAGAAGATCTTCACCAACTCTGCATCAGACAAAGGTCTGATCTCCAAAACATATAAAGAACTCAAGAAACTAGACTTTAAAATTCTAATAAATCCAATTAAAAAATGGGGTACTGAACTAAACAGAGAATTCTCAACAGAAGAAGTTCAAATGGCCAAAAGACAGTTAAGGTCATGTTCAACTTCCTTAGTGATCAGGGAAATGCAAATCAAAACAACTCTGAGATACCATCTTACACCTGTCAGAATGGCTAAAATCAGAAACACCAATGATAGCCTATATTGGAGAGGATGTGGAGTAAGGGGAACACTCATCCATTGCTGGTGGGAATGTAAACATGTGCAACCACTTTGGAAATTAGTGTGGCGGTTTCTTAGGAAATAGGGAGTCAACCTCCCTCAGGATCCAGCAATACCACTCTTGGCAATATACCCAAGAGATGACCAATCATACTACAAAAGTATTTGTTCAACTATGTTCATAGCAGCATTATCTGTAATAGCCAGAACCTAGAAACAACCTAAATGCCACTCAATGGAAGAATGGATAAAGAAAGTGTGGAATATATACGGATTAGAGTACTACTCAGCGATAAAAAACAATTACATCTTGAATTTTGCATGCAAATAGATGGAAATAGAAAACACTATCCTGAGTGAGATAACCCACACCCAAAAAGATGAATATGGTATGTACTCACTCATTTGAGGACTCTAACCATAAACCAAGGACATTAAGCTTATAGTTCATAAGCCTAGAGAAGCAAAATAACAAGGTGAACCCAAAGAAAAACATATATAGATCCTCTTGGAAACTGGAAGCAAACAAGATTGCCAGGCAAAAGTCTGGAGCATGGGGGTGGAGGTAGGGGTGGGGTGAGGTTGGGAGAAGGGGAGAGGGGGAGAGGGATGGCAGTGGGGAAAGACTGGCGAGAGCTTGGGGGAGTGAGAGGGTGGAGATAGAGGAAGGATAGATATAGGAGCAGGGAAGAAGATATCTACATTAAGGAAGCCATTTTAGGGTTGGCAAGAGACTTGGCTGTAGAGGGAATCCCAGGTATCCATGGGGATATCCCAAGCTAGGTCCTTGGACAGCAGAGAAGAGGGTGCCTAAACTGGCCTTGTCCCACTATCACACTAATGATTATCTCGAATATCACCATAGAATCTTAGCCCAGTGATGGATGGAGATAGAGACAGAGACCTTCATCAGAGCAATGGACTGAGCTCCCAAAATCCAGTTGAAGGACAGAATGAGGAAGAAGATGAACAAGGAAGTCAGGACCACGATGGGTTGGTCCACCAACTGAGGCAGTGTGCTCACCAAATCCAGTTGGATTGGATCTGAAAAGTATGTGATCAACAGACTCTCTGATTGTGACTGACAATGGGAGCTAACTGAGAAGCCATTGATAAAGGCAGTGAAACTTGATTTTACAGCATGTTCTGGCTTTTTGGGACTCTAGGCTGTATGGACGCACAGTTTCTTAGGCCTGGATGTAGGGTGGAGGGCCTTGGACTTCCCATAGGGCAGGATTCCCTGCCCTCTCTCAAGCAGGGAGGGGAAGAAGAAGGGTGAGTGGGGAAGCGGGAGGGAATTGGGAGGAGAGAAGGAAGTGTAAACATTTGAATGGAAAAATAAAAAGTAAAAAAAAAAGATTTTTGTGTAGTCTGTGCTAATTTATTGAAAAATTTGTAGACCCAGAAATACTAGTACACCTGATGCCATGTTAGAGGCACCATTTTTAGAAACCAGCATGTAGACCCCAATAGTTCGCAAAATGGGAACAAAGACATAACCCATCGAAGACTTAGTCCATAGTTTCAAGATCTAGGAAAGTTATTAAATGTACTAACCTTACTTTTTGGATTTTGTAATTTT